GAAATTTACCATAGAACAAAAATAAGCAGATAAAACATTTGATTCATCCTAATATTACCACAAGGGGTAAAGGATACATCAATCTTGCACATAACAACTAGGTACCCACATGCAACTAATGGTACCCTTTATTTAATAAAAGGAAACGAAAAATGATGTGACACAAACACATACTAAGGACAATTTTTGAATGACAAACCAGATCCTTGAAGTTTTTCTTCAACTATTTTGGACAATTTTTCTATCATAGAAGGGGAAAAGTGATTAACCCAATCTCCTGTTTCTCCCTTTCTGAAAAAGTTCTTTTTATCAACAGCAGCTATACCTACTTTTCCAGATTTGTTCACTTCCAAGTCTTTCATCTTCTTAAAGCTGCATAATTGGATTATATTTTCAACAATTCCATTATTCTCCTCTTCCTCTGTGAAAGAACAACCAAAAAAATCTGCAATTCTTTTGACATGAAAATTAGCATCCTCAGTAAGATCATCATATTTTACGAATAAAACCTTGTTTGGTTTGGCAATACTCTCCTTCCAATAGCCTAACATATGACTCCACCATGGACCATAATCAAGTATTCCTTTGCAATACAACTCAAAAGCTTCATCCATTGGTATTGCAGGTAAGGACTCAGGTTTTATTTTATTAAAATAAACCCATGCAGAAACAAAATTGTCATAAGGGTTTCTGCAAATATAAATTATCTTGCAATTAGACTCCTTAATTGACTCTGGTAAGGAAGGAAACGGAGTATGAGTACCAAAAATTCTTGGGTCAGGTTTACTGTCTAGGAGCTGAATTTGGTGGTCTTGAATATTACCACCAAAGACAGATTCAAGGAAAGGAACAAGCTCATGAGGATTAGAAGTGAGCAATGGATGATTCTCCAAAGAGGAGAAACGTTGGTGGTTGACAATGGCAAAAGTAAGAGCTTTTAACCATATAGTACCAGATTTTGGGAAGCTAGCAACAATAACATCACTTTCTTTTGCTTGAAAGTGCTTTTGAAAATTTTCTAGTGCTTCAACATGAATTGATGGACACCAAAAGTTTTGAAATAGCTGGAGATGATAATGAGATGGCCAAGTTTTGTCTGTGTAAAGAGAGAGATTTGACTTTTCTTTTGCATTTTCTTCTTTGGAAGCAATTGAAATCATTGCGGTAGCTAGAATA